CGATGAAAGAGGGGGAGGCCTTCAACGAGATGGATTGATACAGTGGCTGCGATGATGAGCTCGAGTATAGCATGGATTGTGGGGCTGGTGCGGGATCGGGCAGTGTTTCGTTCTGCTGTGCATGGGGTCGTTATGAGTCGGAAACGACTTGACGGCACTTAACAACAACAACAACAACAGGTATGCTCATTGCTTTTGGGTTATTGATGTTTTCAGGTCCTCTCAGTGAACGTGCTAGGGAATATATGTATATTAGAAGGGGCCCTGTATCTCTACATACTTTCATATATGTTTCTCTATATATTGTGCACCATGAGTTTGTACTGATACATCTAATTCTTGTCCAACACTAGACTTCATTCTATTTTGTTCCCCATCCATATCTGTAACTCCCTTCTTTGACAGTGAGAAACCCAGCCATTATCCGTATTATATTTATTTGACTAATCTCTTTACTGTAACCAATCTCCCAATTTTGCCACTGGCTCTCCCCTATGCAGATGACCACTTCCTTCATTTTAGTTCTGACTCTCCATATGAACCATCCCGCACCTCCTGCAACACATGTGGGCCTCTTTCTCATCATCCCCTTGGGCTCCTACTCCCTGTGCCAAACTGGCCCTCTGCATGAACATCTACTCCCTCCTGGATGGGCTCTGCCTCCCTACTCTGCATCAGCCCTCCTATATGGATGCACTCATAGCGCATGGGCTCTAAGGTCCTCAGTTTGGGCTCCTATGGATTCATACGCCTACCTCCATGCCACAACTGTGGAAGCCTGCCTTGCTCTGCTCCCCTCAAATAATGGCTTTAGCACTGGAGAAAGGAAGCAGAGGAAGAAGTTATGGCTGTTTTTTATTTTTATTTTCTTAATGTAGCATTTTAAAATTCACTAATGACTTTCTATTATACTTAAAAGCCAACTTATCCTGAGGCTTTCAAAGCTCTCCCTAATCTGGACTCTGTATCCCTCAAGCATCATTCTGTACCATTCTCCCTTGCCCATGCTGCTCAAGAAATATGGGCCTTCATATGATCCATCTTCCTGGAATGATCTGTACATTCTCGTCATTTACCCTTTCTATAACCATCCAATCTAAGTAACTACTCAGTCTCTGCCCATTATTCCATTTCAGTGGATATTTACATAGTAGTTGCTACTATCTAATATTTTCTTGTTTGTTTCTGTTCACCAAAATCTAAGGAAGGTCCATTATAGTTGGTCCCTACTTGTTTACTGCTATAACTCAAGTCTCTCTGGTGAATGAATGCAATTATAAAAATGTGAGGTGTATTCTGTAGTAAGTGATGACTGTGAATGGTCCTTGGGCATTTTTTCACTAGGGTGGTACTGAATGTTGCCTGCATTCCCTAACACTGTGATTGCATCTCTGTGTAACCCATCATTCTCAGAGCTTCTATATACAGCAACAGAATCACTGTCATGGGTGGCATTCCCATTACCTGTGTCAGAGCTTGGATGCTCGTGTTGATGTCACCACTGGCTACTTGGGAGATGATGAAATTGATCGTGGATGCTGTATTACTGTGCATGTCATCGAAATGTGGAGAAACAGCCCTGATCCTACAGCAAAGCAAAGAGAAAAATTCAGTCCCAATCACAAGACATTGTAGTAAACTGGAATTACGTAACTCCCTGCTAGGTCTAGATCTTATCAAAGAACTACTATGTTGTTGTTGTGTGCCGTGGAGTTGGACCCGACTCATAGCGACCACTCTTCCTTGGGTTTCCAAGGCAGTATCACTACGGAAGTAAATTGCCCAACTTTCCTTCTGAGGAGTGGCTGGTGAGTTTGAACCACCAGCCTTCTGGTTAGCAGCCAAGTGCCTTAGGCACTACACTACCAGAGCTCCTAAAGAACTGCTATAGCAGGACAGTAGTCAGTTCTAGGAAGTTTTAGTTGCACACTGCCAGCAGAGAAGGAGCCCTGGTGGTACAATGGTTAAGTGTTCAGTTGCTAACCGAAATGTTGGCTGTTTGAACTCACTAGCCACTCTGCAGAAAAAAAAGAAGTGGCAATCTGCTTCTGTAATGATTTACAGCCCTATGGGGGAGTTCTACTCTATTCTATAGACTTTCTATGAGTTGGAATCAACTTGACACCAACCCTGTTTGGTTTTTGTTTGGCAAGCAAAGAGTTCTTTTCACATATGTACTCTGGTGATTATGAACTGTTTACAGAAAGAGTTTAACTTACTTGGGTTCAGGAATGAGAACTGGTTCAAAAATGTCATCCAGTTTGTGCTGGACAAGTTCTGGCATTTCACATCGGACTGTACCATTGTCATTCTCAATCTCATCCAAATCCAGCTGGAATTCCCGGCGAACTGTCTGGGCTGCCTCAGGATGTCCACTCATGCTTCGGGCTTGGCTAAGGAAAACAAAGGAGGCTCCTGAACTAAAACAGACTTCTTAATCAAAGAGCAAGACTAACAGTGCCAGTTGCCTCAAAGCTTTAAGACAGATGTTCAACTTCTGGTTTCAGCCCCCCTGAATGATTTAAGTCTTTGAGTCTAAGCAAGTGCTTTCAGTGGGCAACATCACTGGTTAATGACTATCCTGAGAGCAGGTAACTTGCACTTACATTACCTGCCAGCTGACAAGTATTCACTCCAGTTCCTTAAAGGCAACAACCCTTGGATTATAGTTCCAGATGGGGCAGAAAACAATAATGTACACATAATACCTATATGGACTCAATTTTTACTTCTTATGGGTTAAAATATAAGGAAAATCTAGACTGGCTGGTTCTTTTCCATCAAATTAACTAGTGTCTAAGTTTTTCTAATCATGAGCATCCTTCCACACAATGTTCATGTCATCTTATACTTTGAGAGATAGTCAGTTACCTCTCTCCAGGAATTCACTCCTGGCACGTCAGAGAAAGCATTATATCCAAACAGTAGGTATTTAGTTTCCAAATTCAAATTAGTTTAAATTATATTTATGACACAATCCAAAATAGAACTACCCTTCTTAGAAGGTGGTATTTTGAGTTCCCAAGCCAACTCTCAGGAGAAAGATGGGACAGTTTGCTTCCACAAGTTTTACAGCCTTGGAAACTCTACGGGGCAGTTCTACTCTGGCCTATAGGGTTGCTAAGAGTCAGAATCAGCTCAATACCAGTGGGTGTTTTGAGTTTGGGAAGTCAACTCTGCATGGGTTTTAATTAGCCTTATCTCAAGGACAGAAACCTAAACACAACCAAATTAAAACACATGGAAAAAGTTGAATCGATATTTCTGTCAAATGACACTAAATTGCCATGTCTGCCAGCCAATGGGCTTTTGTGGAAGGTTTGATTTATGGGATACTTATGTACACCCTCCACCCTGCTTATAAACTCTAAGTCAGTCACCCTCCAGAGGGGATGAATCCAAGTCAGAAGTTAGAAAGATATAAGAGCCCTGCTAATGAGAAATTAGCAGGCAGTACTTACATCCTATAAGTGCGATACATAATTCTGTCCACGGAAAAGCAGTGAAAGAAGGCACAAGACCATTTAGAAGTGGTTTTGAGACAAAGACAAAGACAATGAAGACTGAAGGATTAAACGTTTGGTTACAAGCCATTTACCCACTTTGTCATGCATGATAATGGCTACAGAAAATCAAGACTGTGTTATGAGACAAGCTCTGAGCACACAAGGCAAAGTCCACAGAGACACTCTCAGACAACCTCCTCCATTTACATACTTGAGCTTGGAGGACATGTCCTCCACTGGGCCCTTGCGCAGCATGTTGGCATTGGAGCTTATGTTCTGCGTGCGTTGTGGTTTCTCTTCCATCTGCTTTATTGGGGCAGCAGAGGGCCTCTTTGCTGACCGCTTAATCCTCTCCTCAAGCATGCTCATATCCTTTTCTGAAAGCTGTAAAAAGAGGCCACATTTAATTTATTCACACATCTCTCTACCAGAATGAGAATTAAAAATCTAACCAGAGAACTCGAGAATATCCATTTTCATATTTAAGCAAACAGAACTGACAATGTCAGAACATATTTACTTCCAACATGCTATCTACATTTTAAAATCAAGCACTGCTAGTATCTGACTACCTATAACGACACATATGAAAGAAGGAAAGAATACAAAAAGGAAAACTATTAATAACTACAAATCAACAAGACAAAAAATTCCCTATTTTTGTTTTATGACTACTGTGTTGACTAAGAGCAAAGAACTTATTCACCTGTAAATTGCTCATCTGCTTTAGCTCCTTCATTGAGCTGTAGTGAGACTTTAATTATATAACACAAAAATATTTAAGCCCGGTATAAACAGATCGAGATATTAAGAGGTAACTGGAGTGAAGAACTGAGGTCTAGTCATGACAGTGACTGGCTCAAAGGAAATGAACAGTTAGAAGCAGAACCTGGAGAGCTTGCAAAGTCTGGTTTATGGCTTTAGTTCAAGACTCTTCATTCCAAAATAACTCTCCTTTCTAAAAATCAATTGCTATGAGCAGAATGTACAGAAAATTTGACGTTCAGTAAAACACAAGCCTAAATGTTCTACAATAGTCAGAGGCACCCTCAAGGGTTAATCTGGATTCTAGGACATACTGATAGTTTGAGTTTAAGAAAAAGTGGGAAAAATTCAGATATAGTTGAGATGGCACTAAAACTGATACCTAAGATGCCTTGGTGTTCTTTTCACAACATGCTGATAATACTCAGAAGAAAAGAGTCACTCACATTTCCAATCAGTTTGAACACCTGATCCCCATGTACATTGTACACTGTTACAATGGTGTTGAGTGCAGCATTGCGTACAGCATTGTCCCGGTCTCCTATGTGAATAGCTATCTCCTTTAAGGCTTTTCCTGGGGTTGGTTGGCAAACATTCATGCCATAGGATTCGACCAAACACCCCAGCTCTTCCAGGCACTCTATGGGGGAGAAAGGCTAGATTAATGACAGACTTAGCACACATTTGGCAGATACTTACCATTACCTGATAAATTTCTCTTTGCATAAATGAGAGATTAAAATCTTATTCTTGTCTGCCTTGTTTACTGCCTTCTTATAAAGCATGCAATGAAACAATGAAAACAACTTGTTATAACATTGTTATAACAAGTGCTCCCGACAGAAAGGGATGCCTGTGAGTCAGATGGCCCCTGTGCACATGATTTTGTCACCAGGGTGGTACTGAGTGGTGCTTGTATCACCTGATACTGTGGCTCCACCAGTGTGCAACTCATCACTCTCACAGTCCAAATCAGAAGGCCTGAAGCAACTACATAGGCTCTAAGCACATTTTCTTGTTCATCTATAAACTCTCTTTTAGGGGTCACCGTTGTGGAAACCCATATCTCAGTTTAAATTATATGCTTCACCTGCTCTCTGCTTAGAGTTTTTGGATTTGGTTCCTTCCATGATGAAAGGGAACATCTTGCTGGCTGGGTAGACAAGGCACATCCGGTTCAGGATGGCACGGACATCTTTACGAATGACATCCTTTGGTTCTCCAACCTAATCAACCAGGAGAATAATGATTAAGTGAGGCATTCTCTGTGCAGCAATGGCTCTCCTCCCGTGCATTACTACATCCTAAAGAACAGAAGCAGGGGACTGAGAGGCGGAAAGTATCACCAGACAATAAATGAAAGTGGGAGAATGAATAAGCATAGGAATTGAGGTCAGCTGGGAGCATGAGCAGTTTTCCAGAGTGAGAATAACACATTACCTTGAGGATGAGATAGGGGATGAAGGAAGATGCTTCATTCTCAGTAAGATGATATTCTTCCTCACTTAGCAGGGTGAAAAGTAATTTTAAATATTCTAGGGTTTTCATTAGGACGCTTGTATTGGTGTCAAAAAACCGCAGGGTAAGCCACTTTAGGATAAGATCCAGGCAACCAATGACACCTTCTTTTTCACTCTCCAAATGCTTAAAACAAAATAAAACAAAACCCCCACAAATAAGACTATATAAAAGTTTCAGGCAAGTACCTCTTAACTTCTACTGGAGCCCAAAAGAAAATGATAGCTTTTCAAGTCTCTACTTAAAACCTAAAAAAAATACGCACACAGTCACTTATCCTATCAAAATCCAAGACAGCTCTAAAAAGAGTGAACATGGTATATTCCATTTCCTTCTCAAATCATACAAACTTATGATTATTTCACAGCAGTCAGTATTTTCACATGCCTGAAGTACATGTGTATTTATCTACTGTGACTTACATCAACCATTATAGCTAGGGCTTTGTTGTGATGCTGAAAGTCTGAGTGAAACATCTCATCTTGCAGCCATTTAGCCACACAGCTAGACATCTGAATCTTTAGTTGCTCAATATACTCATCCCGGGGAGTAGTAAAATTCCATTTCAGCACCTGAAAAGAAACAAATCAACTGATGAAAAGGAAAAGTAAGTCAGTAGCACTGGTGTTGAACTGGAATTAAGTAGAGAATTCTATTAATACGGATGCAGGAATCAATTTGATAGGTTATATTGAATTCAACATGATTCACTTATAATTACAGATGAATATAAAACATACTCTCAAGCTGTCATATTTCTAGAAGATTAACAAATCTGAAATTCTTCTATTCTTCTAGAATAGAATTTTTAGGGATTCTTAGTAGAGAAGTGAATGATGTATTAATGTATTACATAGTGGACACAGTTGGCACAACTTTAATAGAGGAAATTTTTGAAATAGCTATCAAATTTAGAAATGTAGATACCATTTTAAGAATTTAAGTAGATATACTTGCACATGTGCACAAAGATCCACATACAAAGATGCTTACTGCAACACAATTTGTAACAGTGAAAGACTACAAACAAGTTAAATGTCTTCTTCATCCAAATAGTTGGACAAAGAAAGGTATATACATAAAATATACCAAAAAAAGCAAGAATATCATCACTAAATTATATAGAGTTATGTTATATAAATATAGATACTGGTCAATGATTTTTTAATGTATTTCAAACATCATTAAAATAAAGATACAGAACAAAGAGTATAACATGCTCCATTTGTGTAAAAGGAAGGGTTATATACTTATATGTGTATGTTTGTAAAGATATGGCATTATGTCTGGAGTAATACACAAAATAAACTAGTAATAGTATCTCTCCCTATGGAGGGAGACTGCAATGGAAGGAGTCAAACTTTTCAAATTACTTTGCACTATTTATACTGGTGGCGTAGTGTCTAAGGCATTTGACTACTTACCAGAAGGCTGGCAGTTCAAACCCAGCAGCCACTCCTTGGAAGGAAGGTTGGGCAATCTACTTCTGTAGTGATACCACCTCAGAAGCCCAAGGAGGGGTCACTATGACTTGGATCTGACTCAATGGCAGTGAGTTTGGTTTGGTTTTTGGTATTTATACTGGCTCATTTTTCTTTTTTTTTTAGAACCATGTATGTATTTTTTTGGGAAAAAAAAAATTAAAACTACCTAATAAAATCAAAACAACATCAAAAGAGAAATGACTAAACTAACCAAATACATAATCACCAAATATGCCTTTTAAGATATTGCTATACCAGAAGGATTAAAGGAGCCCAGTACATGTGTATGTTAATAATAATCTTTTATGTACTGTTGATTCTAAAAATTAAAAAACCAAAAAACTTTTAATCTTTCCTATCTATTTAGAGGAAACTATAGGCAATTTTTGTAGGAATTAATGCTCCTATAAAGTTGTTTTAGGGAAGCATTAAGTCATAATTCACAAACAAAAGTTTCAGTTAATTAAAAGATTGTTCACATTGATTTGAATTTCAAACAGTGAAACTAAATTAACTAACAAAAAAACTCCTGTAAGATTCTTTTTCTTTCCTTACCTTTAATCCTTTCTCATCTTTCATCCTTTGCTCTTTTCCATTTGGAATAACAATAAAAACAGGACCAGATTTGTCGTCATCCTCCTTTAAGCTTGTTTTGCTTGGCACTTTCTTTCCTTGTGCATTCTACAACCATGGTTCAGGAAAGATTAATTAGAAAGGCCACTTCTCCTTGGTGATATGTTGCTGCTGCCCAGTAAAAGGGCACTATATAAACACAGATGCCTCTGTACATTATATTCCACATTAAAAAAACAGATACACCGCAGAATCTTACACAGAATATATCTGTACATGTTCTCTAGAAACGTTTCTAGGAGCATTTAAAAGCATCAGTTAGTATTTGTAATGGCATAAATGCAGCTGGAAAAACTGCTATTATCTATCACTGGTTTGAGTCACAGACTACTTTTTTTTGCATACTTCTTTTCTTTCTTGAAATCTTCAACACTATTTATAGCTATTTATCACATTTTGAACAGCATTTAAACATTTCACACCATTTAGTAGAGAAAGCTTTTCTGTTCTTCTCCATATTTAAATGTACCTCTCACATCAGTGTAATCTGAGATGCTTTGAACCTGCTTCTAGAGAAAGTTACAAGTAGCATTTTAAATAATTAAGTCACGAGAATGGTTTTAAAAATCATTCTAAGATTTATAATCTTTGTATCAGACAGAAATATAATGAACACTCAGTATCTATGTTTAAGGTAAAAACTGAATTGAATTACTAGAGTCATTTTGATTATAAATATAACAAGAGTTCACTATTTCCAGTTGGTCAGAATTTTTTTCTAGTTCAGACACTGAAATCATTCAGTCAAAACAAATATGCATGATATAATGCACGTGAAAATGTTTTGCAAACTGCGAAAGATTGAAAATGAAAAGATAGGGCATTAACCATAAAGAGTTTGAAGCATCTGTGATCAAAATGAGAAGGACTGCTGAACTTGGGACAAGCACAGAAAGAAGAGTAGGGAAACAGAGCTTCAATGAACAGTTTAGGAGATAAACCATTTAAATTAACTCACTGATTTAAAGACCACAGTGTGTAAGAAAGAAAAACAAACAGTTTCAGTATTTTGAAGAATTGGCACAGAGTACCCATTCTACAGTAGGGCTGAAGTGATAAATGTAATGGGTAATAAAACAGTTTCTACTCTATACTTTTTTCAGCAGTTACATAAAGCTAATGAAATAGTTTTTTCTATATTTACTATTGTTGTTTTTTGCCATCGAGTCAGACTCGACTCATAGCGACTCCTCCTTGGGTTTCCGAGGAGGTATCACTACAGAAGTAGATCGCCCAACCTTCCTTCCGAGGAGTGGCTGGTGGGTTTAAACCGCCAGTCTTCTGGTTAGCAGTCAAGTGCCTTAGGCACTATGCTACCAGAGCTCCTTATATTTACTATTAGATCTACTAATTGCTTAATTCTATAATTTTCCTTCTGTAAGTATTAAATAATCAATACTCTGAACACAGCGACAAGCTCTGAATCTTGGTATAGAAATTGATAACAATTTGGTGTGATTCAAAAATTTAATTAAATGGAAAAAATATCAAAGGGAGATATTTAAAGCTGAATATTCAATTGAACATGTTATCTTTAAATGATCCAACTATGAATGGATGTTGAAAAGACTCATGATATGTCCAAGAAAGTGACAATGGTGAGGGAACAAAAGGCATTTCCTTGTAGACTAATCAGAACACCTTCTAGTATGAGGACTTAACTGTGCCAAAGTTGAAGGGAGCTGATGACATCCTTTTTCTCAAATCAAAATCAGTCCAAAGTATTTATTCTGCCAGAGCTATGTAAGAATTCCTCTCTCTTTACCACTACAGACCTCCCCCTGAAGATCTGCATGACAGAAATCATGACAGCGCCTCTTGAGGACAGGATGTCTGGTTTGGGATCTTATTAAAAATGTGCCACAGCATACTTGTATACAGGGTGGTACTGATCCTTCATGTATTATAATTTTCCTAATAGAATGTGTCAGTGTACAGAACACACTTAAAGTAATTCTCCATCTAAATAACCACTGTTAACATACCTTTGCTTTAGAGGAAACTCCTAGAGTTTTGGCCTTTTTGGGATCTTTTGGTTCTACAGAGCTGGAAACAGAATCTTCAACAGGTGCTTTGAGAAAAAAAGCATGTACTATATATAAGCTCTAAATAGTATCACTTTATTCTGGGCAGATTCAATATATAATGATAAGAAAGCATATATAGTGTTTTCAGTTAGACTTTTTTCCTAATCTCTTTTTTTCTCTCTGACTTCCTTTTCAGGCATAACCTTGAGAAATTTATTAAGAAAACTTATGTCTCTTTTAAAAACTTTATATTGCTTTAAAATTATTTTCTAAATACTAAACCCATTGCCTTCAAGTCAATTTTGATTCATAGCAACCCTAGAGGACAGAATAGAACTGTCCTCATAGTATTTCCAATGCTATAACCTTTACTGAAGCAGACTGTCACATCTTTCTTCTGTGGAGTGGCTGGTGGGTTCGAACCACCAACCTTCTGTTTAGCAGCCAAGTCCTTTAACCACTGCACTACCAATCAAACCAAAACTCACTGCCATAGAGTCAATTCTGACTCACAGCAACCCCCATTGGGTTTCCAAGGCTATAAATCTTTACGGAAATAGATTGCCTCATCTTCTTCCCACAGAACAGCTGGTGGGTTTAATCTGAAGACATTCTGGTTAGCAGGCAAATGCCTTATGGATTGTGCCACCAGAGCTCTTATTTTCTCAACAGTAGTTTAAAAACTCTTTTTGCTAGATTGGTATTTCTTTAGGGGTAGAAAATGTTTTTCATCTTTGATGCTCAGGATATCTACTACATAGCAAGATTATAATAAATGTTATAATTGAATATATGCTTTGATACCAAATTTTTAATGCATGTAAAATTTCTAATTTTATAACATCAATAATTTCTATCCCAGTAAACAGAAGAACACTGTTCTGTATAAGCAATGATAATTAATTTTAGAAAAGTTTCCAGGTTGGGGTTATATTTATACATTATGGAATTTTAACACCAGAGAGAAGTTAAGAATTTTCTCCTGAAGAAGATTAATAAATATGAGAATTCATTAAAAACGGCCAAGTGTAGTGGAAGGAGAACTCATTTGTGAACTAGTAGGTGGAATTCAACACTGGTTCCTGCACCAGCTGGCTGTCTGACTTTGAGTGAGTCGATTCACTTCTGTCAATAAAGGGGGTATCAAGCGATTGTTGTTGTCAGGTGCTGTCAAGCTTGTTGAGACTTACAGCAATCCTATGTACAAACAGAATGACACACTGCCTGCTCCTGCACCATTCTCAAAATCATTGCCATGTTTGAACCCATTATTGCAGACACTGCCTCAATCCACCCTGTTGAGGGTCTTCCTCTTTTTCACTGACTCTCCACTTTACCAAGCATGATATCCTTCTTCAGGGACTGGTTGCTCAGGTAACTTGTACACAGTATGTGAGTTGAAGTCTCCCATCCTCACTTCTAAGGAGCATTCTAGCTGTATACTTCTATCAACACATGTTTGTACATTCTTCTGGTAGTCCATGGTATATTCAATATCTTTACCAACACCATAATTCAATGGCATCAATTCTTTGGTCTTCCTTATTCATTATCTAGCTTTTGCATGCATATGAGGTGACTGAAAATACCATAGCTTGGGTCAGGCACACGTTAGTTCTCTCAGTGACATCTTTGTTTTTTAATACTTTGCAGAGGTCTTTTGCAGCAGATTTGCCCAATGCAATATGTCATCTGATTTCTTGACTGTTGCTTCCATGGGTATTGATTATGGATCTAAGCAAAATGAAATCCTTGACAATTTCAATCTTTTTTCTATTTACCATGATGTTGCTTATTGGTCCAGCTATGAAGAATTTTGTTTTCTTCATGTTGAGGTGTAATCCATACTGAAGGCTATAGTCTTGGATTTTCATCAGTAAGTGCTTAAAGTCTTCTTCACTTTTGCCAAACAAGGCTGCATCATGTCATATCACAAGCTGTTAATTAATTTTCATCCAATCCTGATGCTGGGTTCTTCTTCATATAGTCCAGTTCCTCAGATTATCTGTTCAGCATACATACTGAATAAGCATGATGAAAGGATACAACCTTGACACACCCCGTTCCAGATTTGAAACCATGCAGCATCCTCTTGTTCTGTTTGAATGCTGCCTCTTGGTCTATGTATAGGTTCCTCATGAGCATAATTAAGTGTTCGGAGATTCCCATTCTTGACAATGTTAGCCATAATTTGTTATGATCCACACAGTCAAATGCCTTTGCATAGTCAAGATAACACAGGTAAACATCTTTTAGTTATTCTCTGCTTTCAGCCAAGATCCATCTGAAATTAGCAAAGATATCCCTTGTTCCACATCCTCTTCTGAATCTGGCTTTAATTTCTGGAAGTTCCCTCCTGACGTTCTCCTGTAATCATTTTTAAATTATCTTCAGCAAAATTTTACTTTCATGTCATATTAATAATATTGTTTGATAATTTCCACATTCTGTTGGATCACTTTTCTTTGCAGTGTACATATATATGAATCTCTTCCAGTTGGTTGGTCAGTTAGCTATTTCCTAAATTTGTTGGCAGACATGTAAGCGCTTCCAGTGGTGCATCTGTTTGTTGAAATATCTCAACTGGCATTCAGTCAATTTTGGAAGTTTGTTTTTCACCATTCCCTTCTGTGCAGCTTGGACTTCTTCCTTCAGTACCATCAGTTCTTGATCATATGCTACCTCTTGAAATGGCTGAATATCAAACAATTCTTTTTGGTACAGTGACTGTGTATTCCTCATTAAACTAGGTAGTCCCAATTCTCTTTCCAATTACAATATTCAATAGTAGAAAACAGTTGTGGAAACTTTAAAAAAAAATAGGATGTCACTAGCTCTTTGGAATATTTAATGTTCTACTCCCTGAAGACTTGTTTCGGGACTTCGCAACCACATTAATCATCTTTCTACCTTTAGCACACTTCCTGGCATAAAACACTTGATATATGTGACAAGAGGGTAAGGAGAGAGGGAGGAGGGCTTGGGATCTAGGCTGTGAGGAAATGTGATGAAAAAGAAAGCTGGATTTCTTTTCAGAGCTGACCAGAGCTATTTTCTTCCCCTTTAACCTCCTCAAGATAGTTACCTGATGCAGGTTGGAATTTGGCTGGAGCTGACCCTCCTACTGGTTTGGAAGTTGCTTTTACAGGTGCAGGTTTGGCTGGCATATTAGCTTTGGCTTTCTCTAGCATGGCCAATACCTGATCTTTAGAAGTTGGCTAGGAAGACAATGTAACGTAAGTGAGAGGTCACATAAATGATACACTCATACTATGTTTACTAACAGATCTTCTGTCAAACAGAAAACTAGGAGTGAGCTCCTAGTTTTAAAATACCAATGAAGTAATGGAGGCAACACACAGTGCAAGAGAAGAAACATTATGAAGTCACACTAAAATAGTTCTCATCCTAAATCAGAATTTCACTCTTGAGGAGTAAGTAGATTCTTTAGAGATTCTACACTGCTAAATATTTTACTTTTGCTCTCATCAGGAATTCAACTAGGAATTCACAGGGAGTTCTTATGATCTTTTGCTTATATAAATTCCTGATCAGTATTTTTCTAATGGCAGGTAACAACAAGTAGTACCTTTAGTTTCCCAGTAGCCTTGGCCATCTTCTCATATCCTAAATGCATCATGAAGAATGGCAAGGCATCTTGGGCCTTCTTTCGCACATCTCCATTGCGGTCCTCTAGACAGGAGTAGAGATGAGGAACACAAAGGATAAGGTCTGTGGGGGTGGAACGAAGAGTAGGTAGTTTCTCAGCCAGCCAGCCCAGAAGCTGCCAAAAGAAATAAAGATTAGTTTATATACTTCAAGAGGAAAATTGTTATTATTTATGATCTCAGGCTTAATGATTTTATCAGTCCAAAACACTGCACTGAATTAGCTCTTATCCTATGACTTTGCAATATACATTCAATTAATTTTAATTGTTTAAGAATTGGCCATATTTAAGACCATAGTCACAGGGGACATCAAGCTCAATTGGCATAACATATTACACAAAACATTGTTCCACATCCTATTTTGGCAAGTAGCAACTGGGATCTTAAAAACTTGCAAGCAGCTATCTAGATGCAACAATGGGTCTCCCCTCATCCAGAGCAAAGAAGAATGAAGAAAACCAAAGATTCATGGAAACAATTAGTCTAAGCAACTGGTACACCATGCGATCCTCAGCCTATATGACTATGAAACCAGAAGAACTAGATAGTGCCCGGCTACCACTGTCAACTACTTGGAGGGTATCTATGTAGGAGATCCTGAATAGAGTAAGAGAACAATGTGGAACAAAACTCAAAATCATTAAAAAAAAAAAAAAAGAGAGAGACCAGGTTTGCTGGTCTGATAGAGCCTGATAGAGCCTGGTGGAACCACTGACTATGGCCCCTAGTTGCTCTTCAGGTCTGGAATTGAACCTACTCCTGTGGTTTCCAGACAAACAAAAGACAGGCATATGAGGTGAACATTAGGCAGATACACTCCCTGAAGAGAACAATCATGGGGGAATAGAAGGGCTGCTTATGCACAGGGAGACAGCTTGGGGGGCAGGAGTGCATGGAGGGAAGGACACAGGGAAGAGGTAACTATGGGGAGGACTGGGAGGGGAGTTGTCGCATTGGGGTAAATTATAGTCAATGTCATGAGACGAAGTGTATGTGAACTGCTGTATGGAAAGTGAATTTGCTCTGTAAACTTTCACCCAAATCACAATTTAAGAAAGAAAGAAAGAGAATTGTGCCATATTTAAATAACATATGCCTTGATGACAATCATCTTTAAGATGAAGGACACAATTCTTTGGACCATATTTAGGCATTAAATTATGAAGCTTTAATGGTTCTTACTGAATTTCCAAGATGGTAAGCTTTATCTTTTTTTTTTTTAAGTTATAAGAAATAAGTAAGTTAGTAAATAATCCAAAGAGGAGCTCTGATGATGCAATGGTTAAGTAGCTCAGGTGCTAACCAAAAGGTCAGAAGTTTAGACCCATCAGCCAGTCTATGGGAGAAAGATGGGACAGTTTGCTTCTGTAAAAGACAGTGTTGTTAGGTGCTATTGAGTTGGTTTTGACCCATAGTGACCCTGTGTAAAACAGAATGAAACTCTGTTTGGGCCTATGTCATCCTTGCAATCATTGCTATGTTTGAGCCCAGTGTTGAAGCCACTGTGTCAAGGGTGTTGAGGGTTGTCCTCTTTTTCACTGATCCTCTACTTTACCAAGCATAATGTCCTGTCCAGGGATTGGATCCTCCTGATAACATGTCCAAAGTATGTGAGATGAAATCCTGCCATCCTCACTTCTAAGGAGCATTTGGTTTCACCTTCTTCCAAGACAGATTTGTTCATTCTTCCGGCAGTCCATGGTATATTCAATATTCTTCACCAATACCATAATAATTCAAATGCATCAATTCTTCTTCTGTAAAAGATGGCAGCCTTGGAAACCCTATGAGGCAGTTCTACCCTGTTCTTCTATAGGGTCACTATGAATCAGGATCAAGTCCATGGCATTGGGTTTTTGGTATTTTAAAGACTCAAATATTTATTTAATCAAAAGACAAATCTCTAAAACTTCTGTTTTCACCTTATACCAACAGTTTTTTCTTTCCACCTCTAAACAATTCATATTTATTTTTAATTGAAACTTTTATTGAGATATAGATGCACATGCAGTTATAAGAAATAATACAGTAACTTTTACCCAGTTTTCTCCAATAGCAGTATTTTACAAAACTATAGTCAACGACTACAACTAGGATACTGAATTCATACAATCCACTGATCTCATTTAGATATCCCTAGTTTTATTTGAGGAGCTCTGGTAGTGTAGTGCCTAAGGCACTTGACTGCTAACCAGAACGCTGGCGGTTCAAACCCACCACCCACTCCTCAAAAGGAAGTTTGGGCAATCTACTTCCATAGTGATACCACCTCAGAAACCCAAGGAGGGGGTCGCTATGAGTCAGGTCTGACTTGATGGCACATAACAACAACAACAACAAGTTTTATTTGTGCTCATTTGTATATGGGAGTTTGTATTTAGCTCTATACAATTTTATCACATGTATATATTAACATATCCACCACTATAGTCAAGATACTAAACAGTTCCATCACAAGAATCTCATGTTGCCCATTTATAACCATACTCACATCCTTTCTCTTCCTCTGCATCCCTAATTCCTGGCAACTAACAATCTGGTAACCATTTCCAAAATATTGTCATTTCAAACATGATATAGAACTGGAATCACACAGTATATGACCTTTTAGGATTAGCTTTTGTCACACAGCATAATTCCATGGATGTTTATCTAAGGTGCCACATGTATCAAGAATTCATTTCTTGATATGAAGGGCTGTGTGTGCACAGGGACACAGCTCAGGGGGCAGGAGTGCATGGAAAGGACACAGGGAAGAGGTAACTATTGGGAGGAAGTGGTAAGGGAGCTGTTGCATTTTGGTAAATTGTAGTCAATGTCAAGAGACAAAGTGTGTGTGAACTGCTGTATAGAAACTGAATTTACTCTGTAAACTTTCACCCAAATCATAATTAAAAAAGAAAAAAGAAAAAAGAGTTAATTCCTTTCTATTGTTAAATAGTATTCCATGGTATGGATGTTTAACAGTCCGTTTAACCATTCACCTGTAGGACATGTGGGCTGTTTCTAATTTTTGGCTATTTCAAATAAAGCTATGAACATTTGTATATAGGTTTTTGTGTAGACATAAATATTCATTTTCTGGGATAAATACCCAAGAGATTCAAGTGCTGAGTTACATTGTAATTGCATATTTAGTTTTATAATAAAATCTCAAACTGTTTTCTGAAGTGGTGGACCATTTTTTATTCCCACCAGCAACTTGTAAGGGCTTCAGTTTCTCCACATTCTCACCAGCATTTAGTATTAGCACTCTTTTTTTCCTTTTCTTTTTGATTTAGCCATTCTGATAGGTGTGTAGTGGTACCTCACTATGGTTTTAATTTATATTTCCTGATGGCTAAAGCTGTTTATCATCTCTCATGTGCTTAACTATCATCTGCATATCCTTTTCAGTGAAGTTTTCTGTTCATATATTTTGCCTATTGTTTAATTACATTGGCTTTTTACTATTGATTTTTGAGAGCTCTTTGTATATTCCAGATTTAGTTCTTTATCAGATCTATATAGACTTTGTAAATACATATCCTCTTCAGGATGTAATATTTAGAGTAAATGTGTTTAATTTTTATGAGGACTAATTTATCAATTTTCGTTTTCTGGATTGTGCTTTTAGTACTAACTCTAATAATTCTTCGCCTAGCACTAAGTCCTGAAGATTTTCTCTCTCTCTCTCTCTTTTTTTTTCGGTATGCTATCTTTTTAAAAGTTCTACACTTTTAAGGACTTTCAGTAAGATGGTGGAATAGGCAGACAAGCTTACACAGACCCTCTTCAAAAAAGAAAAGAGATACCAATTGACAGAGATACAGAAGATAATCCTGGAGCCTGAGCTTTGAAAGAAGTATTTGTTGTTGTTGTTGTTATTTGCCATCGAGTCAGCCCCGACTCATAGCGACCCCTCCTGGGGTTTCCGAGGCAGTATCACTATGGAAGTAGGAATGCCCAACCTTGTGAATTAGGCATCAACTAGTGGAAAAACCTGAATGAAAACAATGAGTACCGAGACAGTCAAAGCTGCAGAATGTCAGCTACTCTGACATGACCAACAGGCTGAATATTTCCAAGTGGTGTTGGGACCTGAGAATTCACCTAACGATCAGCCCTGGTTGCAAGGGCTGCATGGACGACTGCACTGGTGGCCTATGACTAGGAAGGGAAATGGCAAGGAGGGAGACATTCTGACCTGTGGACCTTTGGCTGCCCGAAGGCTACAGCCATTTTGATTGTTTAAATGTGGTGGCCATTTTGGATTTTAAAGTGACAGCATTCTCATTTGGATTCCAGGGACCTAAGAATAAGCTCTGTTTGCCAAGGACAGCAGGGATATACAGGAGGCTGACAATGGGAAAGGAGACAGGTGGTGAGTATGTATGTAAGTGCTGCCAACTAGTGAATAGAGGATCACAGTGCCCTGCTTACATAGATAACAAAGAAAACAAAAATCATGGGCAAGTCACTCCAGCATACAATCGCCAATTAAATATAAACACAAAAACGTAACAATGTCTCAGAGACAACAGACCATCAGAGTCCACACAAAGAAGCAAGATAAAGCAGGAGAAATAAGGGGCCAGGATACAGACCCAAAACATATCCCTGAGGAAGCAACAGCACTAGAACTCTGATAAGGAATTCAAAAGAATTATATTTAGGTACTTTCAACAGATTGAGAGACAGATCAAGGAAAACACTGACAAATTTGAGGAAAACACAGAGAAAACCCTAGAACAGTTTCAAAAGACAATACAAGAACAAGCCAGTAAGATGGCAGACTAGGCAGAAAGACTGCACAGACCCTCTTCAACAAAGTAAAGAGAAACCAATTAACACAGACAGAGAAGATAATCCTAGACACCTAAGCCTTGAAGGGAAGGATATAAAAGTGGACTAAACCCAAACTAGCAGAAGAATTCGCATGAAAACACCAAAAAAGAAGACAGATGGAGCTGCGGTCTGGCAGTGATCCTGACAGCACGGCATGGACAGCTTTCAGAGTGCCAAGTGGTGGTAGGACCTACCAATTAACCTAAAAATCAGCCCTGCTAGCCAGGGACTGCACGGAGGACTGCTCTGGTGGCTGGAGAATAAATGGAGAAGGTGAAGAGAAACA